GATGAAATGAAAAGATTGTTTTTTGTATTGACAGTGTTCCTCTGTGCTGCAGCTTTTTATTATGGGTCCAGATCCATTTTTTCTATTAATCAAGGATATATGTCATCAGGCCCGTAGCCAGGATTTCGATTGGGGGGGGGCTGAGTTTGTTTCGGGGGGGAGGCTGAGTCTGAGCGAAAGAGGGTTTGCCCTAGCAAACCTTTTGTATCGTTACCCCAATACCCCCATGCATATGGGATATATTGAGTATGGTGATCAGATCATGATATGAATAAACTTAACAATTTAAATAATGCACCAGTAAGGTCTTTTCACGAACCACCATGACATACAGGCATGTAGCCGGGGGGCGGGGGGCTTGAGGGGCTTCACCCCCCCCCCCCCGGCTACATGCCTGTATGTCATACAATCACTGTATGGATACACTGGCAAAGAAAATGGGAGAAGCAACAGAAAAGTTTTTTTCATGCATATTGGGTAATTTTATTGAAACCTCCAGATCTTGTGCTTGTTCTCAACAAGAAAATGTATATTGACATATCAAGATCCAAATGTTATGCTAACTACCTCAAGATCTTTCTTTTCTTTTCTTTTCTTTTCCTTCCCTTCCTTCCTTCCTTCCTTCCTTCCTTCCTCCCTTCCTTTTCTTTTCCTTCTTTTTTTTTTTTGCATTTGGGGATTTCCCCTCTCCCTGAAATTATTGTACATTCCATATCATACAGAAAACAACATGAATTTCATACTAAAACTCCCTTCACAAAATATTTATGATGTGTACCAAATCTCACATAATCTCACCAGGATATATTTTGTAGTTTACATTCTTACATGCAATATTGCCAGATAATGTTGGAATTGAGCCTTCATCCAGCAGGATATAGCACCTGTCATCTAAACCCAGTTTCAACTAAGAGTGGATACAAGGGACATGCAAAACTTTGTAATTCATTTATTGTTTGTAATTCTTTAAATTAATACATGCAAAGTGATAGTTAGAAACACATGGGGTGGCCAAGCAAAAAAACTTAAAATTCAAAACACTGACCTATGAATTTTGGATGAGTTACCTAAGTCTTGTAAACTGCTCTAGGTCTTCATCGTAGGCACCGCTTCTCCCTTAAAAGGAATGGGTTTGGTTCCCCCAAAGACCCCTGAGGGGGATTGGGAGGCTGGAGTGGAGAAGCCCTGTTCTTTTTCCCAAAGCAGCCAGCAAGGAAGGGAGGGGTGCCTCACTGGATGGCCAGGCAAGGAAGAATAATCATAATAATTTCCCAGAATTCTGTTTACTGCTTTGTGATGCCTATTCCTCCTTCGATTGTGAGCTGAATGAACCCTGTGAGGTAGGCAAAGTTGAGGAGCAGTAACTCCAAAGTTTACCTAGTAGGTTTCCTATTGTTGTTGTTGTAATTTCAAAGGCTGGATGAATATCTGTTGGTGGTGGTTTGACTACGCTTCTTAGGTGGATAATACCGAAAAACTGCAATTAGTAGGCCCGATGGATTTTAGAGGAAATCCATCAGGCGAGTGAATGAGTGAGTGGGATTTAGCAGTTAATCTGTTTCCATGCATATTGAGGATTGTGTAGGAGTCAAAAGCTCTATATGAGAAAATAACACTTCTGTTTTTTTGGTTATCAAAATTGTCACCCAAAGAATTCCTCAGAAATATTTCTCCTTCCTTTTTATGTGTTTACTGGTTTAATGAGGGATTTTAAAAAGACATTCCATAAAATATCACCCTCAATTTTTGTTTTAACCCTTAGGCTAATACCATCCCATCTAGGAGTTTCCACATTTCCTTTCCTCTAATAAAACATATTATTGGAACTAGACATTTGCTTTGCTGATTATCAGTCTTCTTTGAAGAACCAGTCTAGCATAACAGCCCAACATTTTCATTTTATAGTGTCCATTCAGAGGCTAGAAGGGCAATAGTCTCCCTGGGGCACTGTACATGATTCTGTAATGGATCACCTATTAAACAATTGTTGACATTTATCAGTATCTGAGCAAACAATGGAAATTTTTTGAAGGCTTTCTGTCTGAATCATTGTAAAGCACATTTTTATTAAGAATGTCACCTTTGAAAAGTGCTATGCATTTGTATTTTCTTTTGCTGTTGCTGGGTATGAAGTTTTAAAAATAAAAATCTTATGTATGCCAAAAAAATGATGCTTATATGCCCAGCCATATGTTTTGTAGTACGAGAGCTAGGAGCTCTTGCATTACCTTTGTCATAGGGGAAGGGGGAAGGGGAACAGAAACCCTGGTCCTGTGGCTTGTATGCAGCAAGTCAGATGTCATTGAAATGGAACTCAAAGTATGGTGTAGCTTCTCTGAGCAGCTGAAGTCTTCCAATACACATCTAGCCCACAGGGCTACATCAGCCTTAGGCTTCAAAGGGCTGTTTGTAAATGTAAGCCTGTATAAATGTAACTATGTTGCCCTGGCATTGAAAAAAATATAGACCACATTTAGTAATTTTATGTTTTAATTGCTTTTATAATCTATTACTGTTGTTGGCATTGAATGAATTGTGAAGCTGCCCTGAGCCCCCCCCCCCCCCTCAAGAGGGGAGAACGATGGGATACAAATATGTGAAATAAATAAACAAATAAATAATAAAATGACATGGCAGACCAGACTCGGGCCACACACTTTTATTTAGGCATCTGTTGCCTATGAACTTGAATTCTGAAACTAATTGTTTTTCAATAAAATCACAAGGAGGAGTAGCTGGGGAAGGAAAAATATACACCTTTACTTGGAAGTAAGCACCCTCTATTCATTGTAAAAATGCCATAGGATGTTTGTTTTTTTTCTGACAGACTAATCAGGATGCCAACAAGAAAGATGCAGAATGTGTCCACTGAGGAAAGCACATCACACCTGCCTCCCATACCCTCCATCAATTCATAAATGAAAATTGAGACAAATGTCACCAGATAAGAATAGGTGTGCTTGAGGTATCAAAAGTTTTTCATGAGGAAGAACACATAGCTAGAACAGCAGTTTACTTTTGTCTCAGCCTCTCCTTTCCCCCTTAGTTGAGAAAAGACTATTTTTACACTTTTAACTCTGGAAGGAGGGAAATGGGACAAGGAGAAAGAAACAGGAACATTTTAAAAGCAATTAGAATAGTGTGGGGGGGGGGGGGCAAAGGATTAATCAGGATTGTCTCTGCCAAACCATAATAGAGTATGACATCATTGTAATCTTTCCTATCTTATTATTAGTATTAGTATTTGCTTGGTCTGATAGACTAACAAGGCTATGAATAATCTGAAGGGTTCTTGCTCAAGATTCTTTCTTAAGAATCTATATCCAATAATGTTCTTATCAGAGTCTGGGATACTTCAATTTTTATGCAATTCCATTATAAATTGTAAAGGGATATTTTTCTCTTTCTTCAAGTAATGAAAAGTAATGGAAATATAATAAGCAGAGCTGTAAGAGGTATAACAGGTACAAATTACTTCAAAAATGGTAAATTCCAAGCTCTAGTATGTGGGAGTTGTAGTTTATGCATTTCATGAGATTATTAGCTTTTGTGCAAGACTAGTTTTGAAGCAAAAATGGAGGTGTCTCTTCAGGTAAAATGTGGAATTTTAAAAGAAACTGAAAGAGAAACAAACATTTTCCTAAGGGCTTTCTCTATCTCTATAGACTGAATTGTTATATACTTCACGTACAGCAAAAAGACATGATAAAAGTAATTTATCTGCAGCTCTAATTTGACTTTCCATTAAATGTACATATTGCAGGCTGATAAATCAGTTCTTTGTGGGAGGTATCTGTTAGTGGAAAGGAAGGCTATGCATTTTACTTAAGATAAAATATTGTCAGTCTTGGATCTAAAACCCTGCAGCTATCTGGAAAATTTGGGCTACTATGCTATCTCAAGCTGATACCAATTGGAGTCACAATGTGGCCCTCCAAGGTATGCATTTGTCCTGAGGCATATCTCTAGATGCTGAAGTTGCTCCCTGCCGGCAGGGCCTTTTTAAGGCTAGAGTCATGAATATTCAGTTACTTTGCCTTGGATGAGAGATAAATCTTCAAAGCTATCTAATACTCTAAAAAAAAAACATAAAAAATTGAGTGGCATCTTAAATGCAGTAAGTTATTTTGCCATGATCTTTCATGGAATGTAGCCCACTTCATCAGATTTATAGTGAGCCTGAGTCCATAAACACTTATACCAGAAAAAAAATGTTTTAAGGTACCTTGTGGCTTTTTGTTGCTTTTGTTGCAACATTGAAATGATTATTTATTATTTTTTAAGTTATATTCCTTCTAGGTTTTTCCCCAAAACCAATCCACATTTGATATTAAACTCTGTATGTTTTCTGTCAGTATGTGAAATATAGCACCTACATTCTAAAAAAAAAACCCCTCTGGGTTATATAAACATAATTACTATGCTTTGAGACCCACGTACTTAGGAAAATCACTGACTGTGTCCTCAGCTAATAATCCCCTGTATCTAGTGGGAAGTGGTGTTTTTAATAGGGCAGTGAATCCAGTTTGGCTTTAACTTTACAAGAGCTATCCAAGGTGCTAAACATATATTGAGGATGCCAAAGTTGAAGACTCAAACTGGATATGTGTGGGCCTCCTCACTTGCTTGGCTTCAATTGAACAGTTGAACTCACATGAAGAAACAAAATCAAACATTGTAAGGCGTGGAGCAATAGCCAGTCAAGGGCAGGTGATGCTACAATTAATTTAGAATTCACTTTGTCACACAATTTATTTACCATATATATTCATGTACAAGTTGACATCATGTACAAGTCAAGGGCAGGCAAAATTACGGATCTTGATATGACCCATGGATTAATAGAGGCTCATCATAGGGAGAGGAAGGCACCAATGCCACCTCAAGTGGGCAATCACCCATATCTAACATTACTATTTCTTTTAAAAGGCTAGAAACAATGCCATAGCAGTGAAATAGTGAAAGTCAAGTGCCTCTGTTTGGTTTTCTTGGGATTATTTTTTTTCCTTTTGCCACTCTAGTCAAAGAAATGTATAGTTTCTTTCTTGATAAGACTTAATTGCAGTACTCACAATGACCTATGGCGCTGATTTTTTGACTATTTTTTATTTATACACTAGCTGTCCCCTGTCACGCGTTGCTGTGGCCCAGTCTGGTGATCTGGAAAATAAAATAATGAGAAAGTGTTGGTTTCTAATATATGTAATTCCTTTATGCTTGTGAGGAAACAATGCTCTTTAATTGTAGTGAACTATAAATTCCAGTAACTACAAATCCCGGCCACATGACCTTGGACGTGTCTATGGACAACGCCGGCTCTTCGGCTTAGAAATGGAGATGAGCATCACACCCCAGAGTCAGACATGACTGGACTTAATGTCAGGGGACAACCTTTTTTTACAAATCCCAAATGTCAAGGTGTATTTCCTCCAAACTCCATCTGTGTTCATATTTGGCCATATGGAATTTTTGTGTCAAGTTTGGTCCACATCCATCATTGTTTGAGTCCACAGTGCTCTCTGGATGTAGGTGAACTACAACTCCCAAACTCAAGGTCAATGCCCACCAAACCCTTCCAGTGTGTTCTGTTGGTCATGGAAGACCTGTATGCCATGTTTGGTTCAATTCCATCATTGGTGGAGTTCAGAATGCTCTTTGATTGTAGGTGAACTATAAATCCCAGCAACTACAACTCCCAAATGTCAAGGTCTATTTCCCTTAAACTCCATCTGTGTTCATATTCGGGCATATGGAATATTCGTGCCAAGTTTGGTCCAGATCCATCATTGTTTGAGTCCACAGTGCTCTCTGGATGTGGGTGAACTACAATTTCCAAACTCAAGGTCAATGCCCACCAAACCATTCCAGTGTGTTCTGTTGGTGATGGAAGTCCTGTATGCCATGTTTGGTTCAATTGCATCATTGGTGGAGTTCAGAATGCTCTTTGATTGTAGGTGAACTATAAATCCCAGCAACTACAACTCCCAAATGTCAAGGTTATTTCCCTTAAACTCCATCTGTGTTCATATTTGGGCATATTGAATATTCATGCCAAGTTTGGTCCAGATCCATCATTGTTTGAGTCCACAGTGTTCTCTGGATGGAGGAGAACTACAATTCCAAAACTGAAGGTCAATGCCCACCAAATACTTTCAGTATTTTTTGTTGGTCATGGGAGTTCTGTGTACCAAGTTTGGTTCAATTCCATTGTTAGTGGAGTTCAGAATGCTCTCTGATTGTAGGTGAACTATAAATCCCAGCAACTTCAACTCCCAAATGAAAAAAAGCATAATTTTTTGAGTGATAGTCACTCCTTGTGTTGTGAGATGTTTTGTTGCCAAATTTGGTGTGATTTTGTTCACGGGTTCTTTTGTTTTTAAGGTACTCATTATGATCAGAGCATTTATATATATATAGATGGGTATACAGGGTATGTATTTCTCCACAACAGAGAGTTGGGCAGGATGGGACTTATCGCTTCTAACTCTAAGATTCTATGATTCTTTTATTTTTTCTAGAAAAACCCAAGATATCAAAGAAAGCATCAATGGCTTTCTAAGAAAGTGTTGCTTTCATTTGTTATTGTATGCTATTGTATGCACTAACTTTCAGTTACCCTACGGCAAACTCACTACTAAACTTTCTGGACAGAATTTGTTCAGAGTGGGGATTGCCATGAGACTAGAAGAATAAGGTTTGCTCAAGGTCATCCAGTTACATAGGTAAGGGGGATTCAAACTCTGGTCTCCTAGTGTTCTAGTTCAACACTCAAACCACTATTCCCCACTGGCTCCCTTAATTAGGAACAGAAATAAGCAATTTAATTTCCAAAACATGACTTAATTTGTAATGTTGTTAGCAGGTAGAGTACAATTTAGTTATTTCAGTGCAAAAGTCAGTACAAAAGCTCACAATGTTTCCCACTTAATTAGGTTTAACAGTATAAATTCAAGTATGTAAGAGTCCGAAAACCAAAAGAAAGAATTGGTGTGAATGGTACAGTGTCTATTAGGGCTGTGCAATCGATGAAAAAAATGTTTCAAAACCCATTACAAAATTATGGGGTGCTGGTGTTTTGTTTCTAAAGTATCGGTAGTGAAATTTTTGTTACTGTAACAAGGACAATGAAATTGTGTTATTTTTTCATTATAGTAATTGTGGAAGTAGGGAAACTTCAGTGGCTACAATGGTAGAACACATTTAGCACTGTTAGACCATCAAGTTTCAGAAGTTTTCATTTATCCATGGATATTTGGGGAATTTTCAAAATTTTTATAAACATTTTTAAAAACATAACTACAAGAGCTAGTGCCTTGATTTTTTCTATAGGACACAAGATAACAAGATATAATTCCCCTCAACTGTCAGAATTTTTCATAATTCTACTGTTTTTAGGGAATTTTTAAATTTTTGACAAAACATTTTTTAAGACATGACGGTTATCTCATTGAATGTCTCTCATATTAACCAGTAGAACTTCCATTTAGGGAGTTCTTCCCAGCCCAGAATATATATTTACTTACTAGAAGCATCAGTCAGTCTTCCTCTTTGCAGATTCAACAATTTATTGAAACCCTAGCTGGCTGCAGAGGGACACATCTCTCCCCTATTCTGATTGGGGCTTTCTGACGCTGAGCAGAATTCTGGGAAATGTAGTTTAGGGCAGGACCTTTTGAATTCTCTGGCATAGGGCTCCCCCCACCTTCCTAAACTACATTTCCCAGAATTATGTGCTATCTCGGTCCCTTTCTCTACACTATTGGACAGGGGGAACTGTAGCAAAGGAGGAGATGGCAAAACCAAGACATTACACTCCCTGCTCAAATTTCAACCAAATTTGCTCAGACTTTACTAACCAAATTACTTTTATACAATGAAATGTAAATAAGTTTCTAAACTTTCAATAAAACTATCAAGTCTGTTAGGAGTCTTTGAAAGATACCAGTTTTTCCTTCAGTGGCAGTTCTGACTGAAGCCTTTCAAATGTGACCATCCGCTCTAGGATATTATTATTATTATTTTATTATTATTAAACTTTATTTGTACCCCGCTAGCATCTCCCGAAGGACTCGATGCGGCTTACAAAGGCCAAGGCCTCAACACACAATACAACAATAGAAAACCTAAGGCAAATTAAAAACAATTAAAGCAATATAAACAACAGGCAATAACAATACACTAAGACACAATAAAACTGGGCCAGGCCAGAGTAATGGGTACAGTATTAAAAGTGCTGATGTGACGGGAGGTATATAAGGCATTATAGGGCAAGTGCAATGTACGGTGTGCAGCAATCTTAATTCTAGTAAAATGTTTGTGGGACTTGGTATTGGAGATTTCCTAATCTGGGAAGGCATATCGGAACAGCCAGGTCTTCAGGTTCTTTCTGTAGACTGCCAATGTAGGGGCCTGTCTAAGATCTTTGGGGAGGGTGTTCCAGAGTCGGGGGGCCACCACGGAAAAGGCCCTGTCTCGTGTCCCCACCAAACGCGCTTGCGACGCAGGCGGGATCACAAGCAGAGCCTCTCCAGATGACCGAAGTGAACGCGTGGGTTCGTAGATGGAGATGCGGTCACACAGGTAGGATGGTCCCAAACCGTTTGTAGGTAAGCACCTGCACCTTAAATTGGGCTCGGAAAATAAACGGCAGCCAGTGGAGCTCCTTGAACAGAAGGGTTGACCTCTCTCTGTAAGTGGCCCCAGTTAACATCCTGGCTGCTTCTCGTTGGACCAGTTGGAACTTCCGAGCCGTTTTCAAGGGCAGCCCCACATAGAGCGCATTGCAGTAATCCAATCTGGAGGTGACCAAGGCATGGACACCCCGGTCAGATCAGCCTTTGCGAGGTATGGTCGCAGTTGACGCACAAGTCTCAATTGTGCGAAAGCCCTCCCGGACACCGCCGACGCCTGAGCCTCAAGCGCAAGCGATGAATCCAAGAGGACTCCCAAACTGCAGACCTGTGGCTTCAGGGGGAGTGTAACCCCGTCCAGCACAGGTTGCCACCTTATACCCCGGTCAGGTTTACGATCGACTAGGAGGACCTCTGTCTTGTCGGGATTGATCTTCAGCTTGTTCCTCCTCATCCAGATAGACACA